TGGTTACTTATCTCAATTACTAGGGTGGCACCTTGTCTTGATCCCTATGTTTTCATACATTGGATTTTTTTGGGGGGGCCCACATGCAAGATATTCATATCATTGTGTGTCATGTTCTAGGTGCTTTCAATCTTGTTGCAGTTTATCTCTCCCGTCCAGGCAAGATCTATCCAATGGAGTGTTTTCTCAATCCAGTGACTTTGCCTTCAGTAGATGCCTTTGACATGTCCCTCAACCATAAATTACATCTGTTTTGGTCTCCGGTCCCTCATCCTCTCACTCTGGCTGTTGATGCTTTCAGTCAGGATTGGACCACAAATACCTATATGTTTATCCTCCCATTTGACTTCTTCACCAAGTGATTTGGATCATTCATACTACTACGTGTGAAGTCCTTCTGATTGCTCCTTACTGGCTGGCTCAGCCATGGTTTACGCAGCTTCTCCAGCTCTAACTTACCCCTCCACTACCTCTTCTTCTGTCTCCCTCACTTTTTCATCAACCTCACTCACAGGTGCTTCATCCAGCTTTTCTTGTTCTCTGTCTTCATGCTTGGTTTTTATCTGATTTCACACTGAAACAACTATACTGTAATTACACTATAACCACACTGACTCCTACCCTATCACGACTCCTACCCTATCACTGAAACAACTATACTGTAATTACACTATAACCACACTGACTCCTACCCTATAGTATGATTATAGTGTAATTACAGTATAGTTGTTTCAGTGATAGGGGTAGGAGTCAGTATGGTTATAGTGTAATTACAGTATAGTTGTTTCAGTGATAGGGGTAGGAGTCAGTGTGGTTATAGTGTAATTACAGTGTAGTTGTTTTAGTGATATGAAGGGAGTGTTTTTTAGGAGGGATTCCACACACTTATTTTTACATACTTCTGGGATTCCACCCACCCCTCTAACACGGTAATTCTTTACTGTATGTGGTACCTTTGTTATTTTCCTCACTGTTGCGAAAAATACTGTTTAGCTCATTAAACTATATTTTATGATTTGAAACTGTAAAAATGTATTTCTTGAGCTCAAACACTCTATGTTAGGACACACATCATTGCTATAGTATTTGAAAGCCTTTTCATCTTCAGAAATAGGATGTCAGCAAAACTTAGGAGTTATTTGTCAACCAAAACTTATCAGTATGAAATTTCATGTGTTACGCTTGTTGTAATCAGTCTTCTGAACTATCGACATTTTTTTATTCCTATGTATTTCAGATTAAAAACATTCAAATCTGAGTTGCAAGAAAATATTATACATATTGCAAGCTATCAGAAAATGATAGTGGTTGAAATATACTAAGATCTGTGTATAGAACTTTAGTGTAAAAATATATTTATTAAAGTAATTGTTTGGTATGTAGAGTTTTCTTTCAGATTTTCATATTAGAGCAACAATAAACAATAAAAACATAAATTTAAAGAATGATTTCTGGTTTAAGTAGTTTAAGTGATGAGATGAAATCACTTTGATTTGTTCGAAATGGAAAAAAGTAAGAAATGATGTTTTTTATTCAGATTTAAGATTGGTTTTGAAATTGATCAGCTAATAGCTAAGAAATGTTGAGTCTGTGAGCTGCAGTAGGGAATTGATTGTCAATCTTTAGCATTGTCAGCCTTGAAAACTTAAGTGCAGACATATTCTTGGGCAGAGTTTATTTTCAGTTAAAGTAATTAATGTTTAGAACAATTTTCTTGCTTTAGTGATTTGTGTTTAATAATATTTGAGGATTTGTTTGAACAATGTTTCTGTTTTTTTTATAGAATTTAGAGACCTAAGTGGGCTGATTGACTTTTAATTCTTGTATTGGATCTCTAACTTTATAAAAATTAATATAAAAACACATCTTATCAAAGCTTGGAGCTTTTACCCATTTTGGTCTGTAATTCAGCCATAAAAAGCTGGTTTTTTAGTTCTTATGGTATCACAAGCTTTTTAATATAATTAAATTCATTTATTCATAGTTAAATAAATGTAATATTTCATAATATTGGAAGTTTTCATGCACACATACATACATATATATATATATATATACATACAAATTAAAATTTTCTGAAGAGGAGTGATCTAGTCTTCCAGTTGTAAATGACTAAAATAAAAAATGTGTATGATGCCATGTGTGTTAAACATTTATGATGTCTTATTGTTTTACGGCTTTTTGTCTGTAATTTTCTGAGTTTGATTTCACTCAAAAACCATACATGAGGAACACATGCTTATTTTACATCTTAGCTATCAGTTATTTAAATAGAACCTTTAACATGGATCATTTCATTTTATTTAAAACAACTTTTGGTAGAAATAATTCTAGTACACATTGAGTAATGATTAGATAGCTATCAATTACAATGTATTGGCAACATATTGATATTCCATGACAGAACACATGTGTTAAATATCTCTAACAAATGCTAGTTGAGGTCTCTTCTTTTTTTTCTTTTAGAAGTGAAGCTATTAATGACACACAAATTGGTTTATTAGAATATTGTAAACTAAATTATATATAAGAATAAGAATTTTTTTATAACTATACAGCTCTTATATGTGGTATATTGATTAGACTTATTTGAAAAGCCAGTTATTAATTATGTTTCATACATAACTTTTATAAGTGCTAATGTCAAAACCTTGAAAACAGTAGGAGTAGGTTTTTTTAACATCTGTATGTTATACTTGCATGAACATTTGGGGATGATGCTGCTTGATTGATATATATAGGAATATATGAAAAACTAGATGACCTACTTTTTTTATAAACTACTGATTAATGGTTTCAAAGGAGCACGAAGCTGAGACTTGAGATATTTCAGGAACCAGATCTTTCTAGTTCAATGAGTTTTTGAGACCCTTGATTGATAATATTTTTGAGCTGTATACATGTTACGTACAGTGGAGAGCAAAGAGAAGAAATGTAGAGATTGTAGTCGATCAATATCATTGGTTACCGTGGTAACTAGGTCAGTGTTTCCATATTGATTTAGCTTACTAAGGAAACTTCTCTGTTGATCCAAGTAATGTGTGGTGTGTGAGTATGTAAAACATCAACAGTTATTTGAAGCTTTTATTTTGTTTTTTACCAACTTGCTTTGCAGTTTTGTTGACTTTCTAATAGAGAAGAGGCGTAGAAATAGATGTACAATGTAAAAAACCAAAACAAACCATTCATATTGATCTGGTTAATCAAATCATTTATTTTACGGGGTTTTTACAATTCTAACATTTTATTGAAAAATTTTATTTGAAGGTGATAATTAAAAACACAAGCTCATAAACTATGGTGTAACTTATAAACTTTCCAAGTACTCATCTAAGCTATAATTTTGCTCCTAAAAATATGTTCATAGCCATTATTAAGCCTGTAGTAGTCTGATTTTTTAAAAAATTGCCTTACTTAATTTATTGCATAATTTTAACTGTGCTAAAACATTACACACCAGTACATTTCTAGTTTTAGTACATCTATATAATAATGCATTTTTAGTTTTAGTGTTAGTATAAGGCAGCAAATATTTCTAGTTTTTGTGTGGGTCTAGAGAAGAACATTTCTGATTTTGATTGTGGGTATAGAGCAATACATTTCTAATTGTATTGTGAGTTTTGTGCAGTTTATATCTAGTTTAGAGTGGATGTACCATTTTCTGATTTAATATGGGTATACAACAGTTAATTTCTAGCTTAGTGTGAGAATGCAGCAGTTCATTTTTTAGTTTAGTGTTGGTGTATAGTAGGTTTGTTTGTTTGTTTTCAATTTTGCGTAAAGCTACACGAGGACTATTTGCGCTAGCCGTCCCTAATTTAGCAGTGAAAGACTAGAGAGAAGGCAGCTAGACATCTCCTCCCACAGCCAGCTCTTGGGCTACTCTTTTACCAACGAATATTGGGATTGTCCGTCACATTATAATGCCCCCATGGTTGAAAGGGGCAAACATGTTTGGTGTGACTGGGATTCTAACCCGC